ATAAGGAAATAAGGTTCGATCGCTGGGTTATGCGAATATGTGTCATGTGGGCTTGGGCCCAGTCTCCTCAACAAATATTTGATAATGGAGCCAAAATCGTAAGTAACAGTTGCTCTTTTTGAAGGTCTGGTCTTGGTCTTATTATCATCATCTCCCTGATGACTCTGACTGTTATTCATTGCACTTTTTCAACCAATATTTGGTTGGGCTGTAGAATATAGCTAGTGTAGACAACCTCATGCACTGACATTTTAATTGAGTTGGTGGTTGGATAAATGTAATGATTTTCTTTTTTTTTTTTCAATTTACTAATAGGGATTACATTCTTGCATGCTCAAAGTCTACATACATCTACAAAGAAGGAGAGAGGCTTATCTTTCATCAGCCACCACTCAAAGGAATATATGCTTCTGAAGGATGGTTTATGAGATTAATGGAGGCAAACAACCCTTTTGTGGTAAAAGACCCTAGAAAAGCTCACCTGATTTACTTACCTTTAATTTTAGTTCACATGCGAATTCTAGACGAGACATTGTATGTGCCCAATTCACACAATCACAAGAACCTGATCATCAACCATTTGAAGAATTACGTTTGCAAATAGATCCTTTTCGGAACAGAACTAGTGTATCAGATTATTATCTTGTTGCTTGTCATGACTAAGTATAATTTCAACTTCAAATGTTGTGCGTGTTCCGAGGGACCCTCTCACTCTCAACGTTATCAAAGATAAAATCAATATTAACCAAGGAAGTGATCTGAAGTGAATCTAGGGTCCATTTGGTTCGTAGTCAGAAACGGAATTGAAATCTTCTGAAATTGGAATCGGAATTGGAATAGTCCATTCCTATAGTCTGTTTGGTTCAGACAGGAATGAGAATAGAAATTAAAATCAGCAGGAATGGAATTTCACTCCCAAGGGAGGGGCAGGGAATGGCCATTCCCTCAAATAAGGGAATGTCATTCCAGCAGGAATGAGAATGAGATTCCGATTCCGCCCAACCAAACAGTTGAAATCAAAATAGTCCATTCTGATTCCAATTCCAGACCCCTATTCTTGCAAACCAAACGGACCCTAGGTGTCTTAGGACGTGTGGGGGCCTTTTTTCCCACAACCCTACTTCCTTAGTGCTTCTGGGGGAGTGGAGACGGTTTGAAAAAGAAAAGAAAACCTCCCTCCTTTGATGATGGTATGTGGGAGTAGAACTCGTATGGGTGTCAATTGAACGGGATTTAGTCCAATTTGATCCAGTCCATTATAAATGGATCAGGTCCAATCTAATCCAATAAATGTTTTAGATCAATTTGGATAGGTCTAATTCAATGTCTGGACCATCCAATCTGTTCAAATTCATTGGTTTCAACTCAAACCTGGTCCATTGACACATGTTTTTATCTTATATCAATGGATCAGATATTGGCTTAATCCAACCCAATCCAAAATAAATTTATTACGGACGGACCAAGTCTAATCCAATCTAATAAATATTTTGGACCGAATTGGTCCAATCTAATATGTCCTGTTGGTCCGTCCAATCTAAAACCGGTCGATTGGCACCCTTAAGTAGAAGGGGATTGAAGAAACAGGGCTTTTTTTTTATTTATTTTTTGTGCTCTCTTGGAGCGTTGGGGACTAGTATCAATGGTGGTAAGTGGTCTGTACTCACTCTGAGATTTGTAATTCTTCCTTGATTGTTGATAGTGGAATTTTATTATGAGCATTTTTCTGTTTTTTCCTTGCTTTGCGTGCATCCATTAGTACTCTTATTGTTTTGTTTTCCTTGTTAGTTCTTGTGAAGGGAATTTAGGGACCTTCAATCTAGTTGGTACCAAATCCAGCCCAAGTATTTTGGTATCAAATTAAGCCAAGTTTTATAAGGTTGTATGCAAGGTCACAGATCATTGAAAGCTGATTTGGCTAAATTTGATCCGAAATTGGAAGCAAGCTAGAGAGGGAAATCTATGATGGCAAATCCAAGAGAAGAAGATTCTTCAAATGACCTCTCCCACAGAGTATCTAAAATGGAAAATATGATGGATATGTTGAAAGAAGCAGTCTCAAGTAAGAAGAATGAAGAGGTTGTTTTGTCTCAAGGAATTCAACAATCTACTGCTGAAACCATGGTGATGGAACCTTTTAAAATGGATGTCCATATTGAAATTTCAGTGTACAGTGGAGAATTGGACCCAAAAAAATTAGATGAATAGTTGAAAAGATTAGAAGTATATTTCAGCACCAAACTGTATAGTGAAGCACAAAAGATTACCTTTGCGAATTTGAGCCAAAAGCCAATTTTATCCTATCGGTTATCAAGATGAATTAAAGAATAAATGGCAACTTTTGAGCCAAAAGCCAGGACAAATTGCTCAAGATTATACAACAGAGTTCAGAAAACAAGCTGTGTTACATTGGAAAAATACAAAGGTGGGTTGTGTTATCACCAACGTACAGAGTTTCCTTTCCCTACCTTTTCCTTCAAACCAAACATGACCTTAGGTTAAAGTGGGAAATTTGGATAAGAAACCTAATCCCACTGTGAAAAAAGAAAAAAAACTTTGTGAGCATTGTAAAAAAAGTAGACATACAAAAGAAAAGTATTGGACTTTGCATCCTGAGAAGAAGCCCAACAATTGGAAAGAAAAAAATGTTGCAAACACATGCCATGATAATGATGGAATGATTGAATGTTCAAATGAACCTGATGAAAGCTAGCTCGCATGGTGCATAAAACCCAAAAGTAATAGCCAAAACAATTAATCTTTCAAAGCAACAACAGGTCATTACAAGTGGAAATGTTCCTCTGAGCATTAAAGAAGATTTGTTTTGGGTATATATCCAAATTCAGATGTCTAAGGTGGTTGCTTTACAATCAAAGCCTCACCATCAGCCTTATTCTGTTGGGTGGTTGAATATGAATTTTGAATTACAAGTACAGGCAAAATGTACAGTCAAGTTGAAAAATTCACAGATGAGGTCGATCACTTGTGACATTTTATCCTTCGACATTTGTCAAGTTGTTTTGGGAAGTCCTTATTTATGCGATTGGGATGCTAGGAGAGACAATATTTGGAGGCTTCTCAAAGATGATGTAGCAAAAATAAGTAACTAATTAGAAAGAAGAAATTAGGATAGGGATTACCTAGTTAGGGAAACATTAGGAAATCAGAAACTAACTAATTTGATTCGGTTTCGATTTTTACACATGAAAACCAAAATTGAAACGAATTATCGGTTTATCTCTCTTCACAATATGAAACCGACCAGTGGTGAAGAAAAACTGAACAAATCGGATTGGGTCGGGCCGGTTTGGTTGGTTTGGCATTGTTTGTGAACAGCCCTAATGTGCAACATGAGATTTCTTTGCTACCTAATGCTCCCATCCCTAATGAATGATGTGTTACGACCGGTTCTAGATAAATTTGTGTTAGTTTTCCTCAATGAAATTCTTGTTTATAGTCAAACAAGGGAAGATCATTTGGATGGTTAAGATCATGGTTTTGAAAACTGGATCAGACCAATTGACCTAGTAACTGGTCAGGCAGTTGGTTCCGTTTCACCCTAAAGTTATTCCTAGGCCAAAAACTATTAATTTATTCAGTGACCGGCTGACCATTTGACCAGGGAACCGGTCCCAAAACGGTTTGATCCGGTTTTTAAACCTTGCTTAAGATTAATTATATTTGATTTATAGCAACAAACACTATACATTTAATTGAAATCTGTCCCTCTTTACTTTTTGGAAGAACAGATTCCCATGTACAATCAAAATAATTGTCTCTTTCAACTTTGGTATCCACCATGACTTCACGAGACTTGGAACCTTACCAAGGAAAAGATAACCATTGCTCGGGTTCTACCGAACAGCTAATTAAGAACAATTTGAATAACCTTTAAAGGACACATGCCGATAGCTAAATGACACATACAAGCTGACAAGTTCCTATGGGCTCATATTCTGAATTGGTACAATTATTCTACTATTCAATTATCCAATTTTCAAATGAAATATTGATACTTTTTTCCTCAAATTTCAAGTGTTGTCGTGGCCACATCACCAAAAACTAGAGGTGTAAACGGTATTCGAAAATTCGATTTTAAATTTGATATTTGAAATAATTGAATCGAATTCGAATAATTTGAATATTTAATCAATTGAATTCGGATATCTTATTCATATCGAATAGTTAATTGGATTCGAATTTGGATATGACCTAATTCGGTTCGATAAATATCTGAATTCGAATGATTATTTAATTCTAATATATAATATATAAATATTTTGTAAAATTTATATATAATAATTAAGTTATATAAATAATTTATATACTTATATGCTTTATATCAATAAAGTATTTTTTTTATATATTTATTAATTATCTAAAATAATTAATTAATCAAATCGAATATTTGAATATTTAATCAAATTTGAATTCGGATATTAATGTTCAATTTCCATCGGATATCGAATCAAATTCGAATATAAGATGTTCTAATCGAATTCGAATTCGGATAGTGCCTGATCCGATTTGAATTCGATCCGTTTACACGCCTCCCAAAACAATATAATTAGCTACATTCCTTGTTGCTTTTTTTTTTTCTATGGCTTTTCATACGTTGAACGGTTAACTCACCAATTAAGGGATTAAGGGGGTGTTTGGACAACGTGGTTGGTTTAATTTTTGAATACAAAAACAACTGTCATGTACATCACCAAAAACTATATAACTTCGCTGTTATTTTACTGTCACAACAGCAAGAACAGAATGGTTGGTTTGAGAAATGAGTGACTTTGTTATAACCCAGAAAAACGCCTGAAATACTTTTGTTTATGACGCTAAATTTGGAAAAGAGTACAAATGGAAATATGTACGGTACAAATACATATAATATACAAGGTTTTGCACTCTGCAGGTTTGTATTTGTACTCCTTCCAAACTGAGCCTTGCACGAAGTTGAGTATTTGGAGGTACAAAACAGAGTATTAGGTACAAACAGTGTATTTACAGAATAATGCTAAAATACAGTACTCTGATCGTTACATACCAACTTCTTCTTCTCCATATAAGTGTGTTTGTGCCCCGAAAACCCCAACAGGTAGAGCAGAGCCTACTCACATTGTAGGCCTTTTTTGAGCACTTCCATTGAATCAGAGATCTCTGCTCTATAAACATAGAACCTACTCACAGAAAGGAAGAAGATAAAATTCAGAAGGTTCAGTACTGCAATGAATGCATAGTAGTAATCCAAATGAGACGCATTGAGGTTGTTCGTAATCCATCCTTTATGATGACCGCCCTTCTTGGAGACGTGAGACACAGTGGCCAGAAGAAAAGAACTAAGGAAATTTCCAATCCCCATACTAGCCAAAGAATAAGAAGTCCCCAAACTCTTCATGCTCTCAGACGCCTGATCATAGAAGAACTCAATTATTGCTACAGCTGAAAAAGCTTCAGCCATCCCCATAAGCACAAACTGAGGGAGCAAAATAAATATGCTGAGAGGAACTTTCCCTCCATTTTCTACTAAACCATGATCTCTGGCCACACTTAATCTCCACCTCTCAGTTAGAGATGAAACCAACATGGTTATAACGTGGAGAGCAAGACCGACTCCCATTCTCTGAAGCAAAGTGATTCCTCTAGGATTCTTAGTCCATCTGCTCATGGTTTTGACGAACAACCGATCGTATATCACGACGGTGATAAGCATGGTTATGGTTGCAGAACCACCTAGGCTGGCTGGGGGAATGTGGAAGCTTCCTACAGTGCTGTCAAGGGTTGTAGCTTGCTTCACGAAAAGGGTATTGATCTGAGCGAACATTAGACCTGGCATGAGTGTTGCTATCCAGATGGGAATCATTCTAACCATTTGCTTCGTCTCCTCCACTTGGGTTACTGGACAAAGCATCCATGGACTGTTTGAAGAACCTGTTTGCACAGAGGCTTTGTTGAGGAACCTGCATTCACGCAGAAGAAATTTACTTAGTAATAGGCTTGTTAATCAGGAGCAGAAGAATTAAATTAGCTGTGAACTACAAATTAAACAAATTTTATTAACCTCAATGAAGATGTGGACTGAATCCTGAACTTTCCTTTTTCTTTGTATTCCTTCAAATCAATCTCATAGAGCTCTCTGGGGTCATCAGGAATGGGCACCCTCCATTTCCTAAGAGTAGCCACTATGACCCTAGCCATCCTTGTGAAGTGACTCCCTGTGGGTACCCTATGCCTATAAAAGCATGTACCTGTCAAGAAGATCATCACCGCTACCAAAAGCCCAATTGTTGGGAGCCCATAACCCAGGGTCCAACCCACATCGTCCTGTATGTACACAAGGAAAGTGTTGGCGCAGAATGACCCAAAGAATATGCCAAACATCCACCAATTGAAGAAGGAGAGCTTGTGGGCCTTCTCCTTGGGATCAAAATCGTCGAACTGGTCGGCGCCCATGGTCGAGATGTTGGGCTTGATTGCACCGGTTGCCAACGCCAATATGTATAATGCACCATAGAACACAACCAATTGTAATTTGGAGGCCTGTTTACAGTTTGTGATTTTCTCTGTTTGTGGGCAACGAGGAGGTCTCAGTGAAGAGAGTGAAACTGCCAACGTTAGGAGGCTCATTCCCTGTTATAACATTAAAATCTCAACAATTAAATTAGTAGGCATGTAAGTGGTAGGAAGGAAATCTCACCTAGTGGAATTGCCACCGCCAAATGACCAAATGGTGGTGTGAGAGAGAAGTGGCCTGGCCCAAGTGAGTTTTGGGTTGAGAATAAAGGACATGGGCATTTCTGTCATAGATTGAAGTTATATTTTAAATAAAAAATTGTAAAGAGGTGGATGGGCAGCTCAGCCACTAAGAAAGAATCTTTAAAATTAAGAGTACAGATGTTGCACCAAATGATATTGGAGGCCTAAAAAGCCACCTTTTCAGACATCGGACATCCATTCAATCCACTCATAGAATGGAGCTCTAGATTTCTAGGGGTGGACTAAACTGTAAAAACCCCAATAAATTACCAATCCCAAAACATTAAGAGAATAAAAGATAAATTAATCACAATTGTTGGAATGTAATCACCAAATCCAAGCTTATACAAATTAAAGAATTCCAAATAATATTTTAAAGATTTGACCATCATACCAGAGAAACTTATAACCAGTCAACCGATATCACAAAATTGATAACCAATCATATGGTTCTATATCAAATTCTTGAGGAGTGGGATTTATTGGTCAAAACCCTTCTGGTATCATATCTTTCCCGCTGGCCGCTGCATATATTTTTTGATATCATAATCTTTTTATGGTTAGATTATTATATTGGAAAATCTTATAACTAATCAACCCATATCATAAAAATGGTAACTGTTCATGTGGTTTTTTATCAAATTCACGGGTGACATGATTTTGATTGGTCAAAACCCTTAGAGATATCATCATGTGTTACCATCAGTATAGATCTAATTTTAGGGTTCGACTATGATACCGAAAAGACATGACACTGGATAAACTTATAACTAATCACATTGAGCATGGAATGCCTATCATCTTGATGGGTCTAGGATTTAAAGGTGGAGTCCCCTCTCTTGATACCCAAATGTGAAGGCTGAAGCATGAAGTAATAGTGTGAGGTTATATACCAAAAGATAGAAAGCACATCCAATGAGAAAAGTCCAGTATCGCCCAAGATGTGCATCAGCAACATAAGCACCCAAGATGGGTGTGATCCAGGTTGTCCCGACCCAGTTAGTAACATTGTTGGCCGAGGTGACTGTGCCCTGATGGAGCTCCTTGGTCAGGTAAATTACCAGATTCGACCATATTCCGAAGTAGGCCATGCGTTCAAGTACCTCAAAAACTGCCAAACAAATCAAGAAGAATTAAGTCAATGAATAGCTTTAATTGAATCAAAATCAAAAGGTAAAAAACCCAATAAACTCAGATGGTGCAGCCCATTTTCATTTTCTTTCTTGTTAGGGATAGAGAGAGAGTTCTGAGAAGTACCAACAATGAAGGAGCAAGCTTTCCAGCCACCTCGCTTGGATCGAAGAACAGGGTTCCGTTTGAGATCCACAGTCCCATCTTGAGTAAAATCACCACGCCCATCTTCCTTCTCGACGTCCTTTCCCATAGATTGATGATCTCTTAATTTGCTGGTTTAGTCAGTTAGTTGAACTATCTTCTCTGTGGTGCTCAAGTCAGTTCTTTGGAGCCTGAACTTAGCGTTCAATTCACGTTCTTTCTTCTCAATCGATCAATCCCTATTTATATACATCTTGTTGTATGTCACTAATAATTTTAACCAGCATCTCATTAATTCTTCTTGATGAAGATTGTCAGCGCAAAGCAGCATATATAGAACTTTAACGATTCAAAGGAAAAAGCATGGCAAAACGAATCTATATAACTGCCTTTTTCTATGCTTTTACTATCAAACAATAGCCCTTGTAATATAATATTGTTGAATTTGGATTTAGTCCCCACAAAACTGTCCTCACACTATCCTCCATTCCATCCTTTTGCAGCCGTGCATTGAGAACATCTCTATCATAGAGAGATATTCAATGCACAACTGTAAGGGGCTATGATGAGGACGGTGCAAGGACAGAGTCGGGATTCATAATTGTTATACTGCTGAAGGAATTTTCAAATTAAAGTTAACTTTTGTGAAGGAACTCCAAAGTCCAAACCATTGCCTCCCAATATGCAAGTGAGAGTCAATTCATCGGTATTGAGACCAAACAAGGTTTTCACCCCAAGTTTAATAGTCTCTATTATGTTTGAAGGGTTTTAATTAATTTTGCTCTAGTGTATGACTTTACTTCAAGGGGTATTTGTCATTCTGATTAAGATATTTTTTTACATGAGATTCTTCTTTCACAGTTATAGAATAATTGAAAGTGGAATGTTTTCTCCATCATAGGTCAAATGTTTAAGTATTGGAGTCAAATTTTGCAAATGATGTCCTATGGTGAAGATTGGTTAGATGAGTGGCTTTTGTAGGTTAATTTAAAGTTTACATTTTTACACGATTGGGATGTGTTGTGAGGGGTTTGTGGAGTGCGCTCTATGGGGCGCAGATGTGAATTCATTAATTTATGCTTATGATCGGTGGATCCTACTCTACCAATACGATTCCCACTAAAGTTTTTGGCCTTTGAGAAAATTGAATGCTAACACCCATTGGGCTTTGTGTGATGCTTTTGAGTTATAATGTGTGAACTTAAATAATCACATTGGGAATGGAAAATATGAGATATTTCTGCACAAAATACAATGTGCAGTAATTTATTCTAATTTATTATAGATTCAAACACAGACTTCAGTAGGCGCCATGCATGTAGGATAAATGAAGCAGGAATTCCCCCTCCCCCATACAAAATTTTAATTTGTGTTTTTGATAGATAACCCCAATGCAAAATATGGTGTCATTGATTGAAGATATAAAAGTACCCAACCAAATACCTTTAAAGCCAAATTGTCAATGTGAGGCTTACACTGAGCCAAAACAAAAATGCAGCTGCAACGTGACACCAAATATAGCCTGTAGAAAGCATCAACATTTCTACTTTCTCCCAAACAAAAATGCATCTCTCTTCCCCCACATTGTTTCTCAATCCTCTAGTTTTGGGTTGGATGAATTGTCCCAACAGTGGTAAGGTTTCGATTCCCCCACTACTATCAAAGAAAAGAGCCGTTGATTTAATTAGAATAGTAAAGGGGTGTTAGGTAGTAATTAATATTAAAAAGAAATTAAAAAAAAAATCAAACATTGCTATATTCAATTTCACCCACAATCAATTATTATGTTTCGTTCTATTAATGAACTGATTAATGTTATCACTCCCCTATAAAACATAGTCATCTATTCATACACCACCTTCTCCATCCTTAAATGACAATTGTTGGGTCAGTGATGCTGGACACTGTTAGTCCTATTTGTCACGCACTCATTATATAACAAAAAATTTATGATTTTAAAAAGTGTATTTTTCTCACATTTTACCAATTACAATAAGCAAGAAATATTGGAAAGTATAAACGAAAATTACTTAGGGTATCTTTGGCAAATAAGTACTTATCATAAGTACTAATTTTTAATTACTTGTTAAGATTTGGGGAGTCTTTTCTATCACTTATATTTATTTTAAGTACTTATTTGCATGGTTTTCGAACTGCCGTTGACCCAGACGGTTGGATTGTTCAGTCTGGGAACTGTCCAGGCAACTGGTTCCGTTTTATCCCAAACCCAGTCCTTGGCCAATAACCTGGGCGATCGAATCGTCGACCCATTGATCCATTCAACGATTTTTATTTTTTTTTAATTTTTTTATCAGAACGAACCGTCCATTCGAATTGGATCATTTTTTAAAGCTATGCTTATTTGTGTTGGAGTGTTTGGTGAACACTTATCCCATATGTACTTAATTATATTTGTAGAAATGACAATTAGTCATAACTTAACATGATCATATATTGGACAAGTACAAAGACAAAAAAATAAATAATTACTTATCCCATAACTGAACTTGTTTATATATTCATTGCAGCAACGTGTGGGGAAGAGAGGAGGGAAAGAGAGAAAGGGAGGAGGAAAGAAAGAAAGGAGAGAGAGAGGCGGGGTGGTGATTCTATGGAAGGGTTTTTGATTGCCATCTTTGTTTCAGGTCTACACTGGAGAAGGAAGTTTTAAAGATGGGGCAGTCCCTAAAAAATAAACAAAACATTGGGGTCAGTCTTGTCCCAAAAAAAGAGATAAGTAGTAATTGAATAAACACTTAAAAAAAAAGGCACCCCATTCTAATTTATTTTTTTAAATGCTTATTTTGAAATTAGGTATTTATTTAGAGCCCTTTTGCCAAACATTAGTAAATAGCAAGTTCCTATTTTTCAATTATTGTATGGTCCCGCCACTTAAAATAAGTAATTATTTGAATATATACTTATTAAGTGTTGGGCTTAAACTTCCTTTTAACTTAACATCAAAGATGTTACTTTTTCAGTACCATTGATAATTGATGTTTGGTGCCAAATTAAAAAATAGTCTAAAAGAAAGTCAAATGGTTGACTGGTGGTGAAAAGGCTAGTCTTCTTCTTCTCCCTCTCGTTTTCGAATGGAGGTCCCAAAGCATGATTGACAATGCCTTCCCAATCCCAAAATACAAGCTTCTAAACATGTTAGATTCAAGGGTCTTTCTAAACTTTGATAATGATCAGAAATTGTTAAACAGACATACAGCGTACCTTGAATATATATATGAGCCAAAAGTTGTGCCCATTCCTCTCTCCTTTCAAACGCATTAAGCATGAACTCGGTTGCCTTTTTTTCTCCCCTCTATTACACTATAAGAGATTTTTCTTCCTGAAAACCAGAGTTTCCATCATCCTCTATTTTGTACCATTAATCAGTGGCACTTAACTGTCTTTGCAATCCTCTCTCTTGGGAAGATACTTAGATCGCTTTGGGACTTTGGCCATATCACCAACATAGTTTTAGTCACATACTGGGTCCCACCGATTAATTCTTCTCAAACCATTAATTTTTCTCAGCACCACTATTAACCCTTTTGACTAATAGTTTAATAAAGGACTTAAGAAGAGATATCATACATATTAATTGGGTTATGGTTGAACTGGCCCTGGGTGATATATGTCATTTTCATGGACATCTTATCTCTTCGGCCACGTTGACATCATTTCAAATGAATAAGTGCGACCAAGGAAGAAGGATCTCGTATGGATTAAGAGGATAGTTTCATTGGGGATTAGGTCTTATCCCGAAGATCTCGGTGAACAACTTCATCCCGACAATCCTGAAAATCTCATCCAAACAGGACACGGATCTTTAGTTATCAATAGGTAACCTCCGCTCAAGGTAAAGGACTTTTGGCTCTTCAGCCTCCATACTATTATTCTGCTCGGACCAGCATTGCTCTCAACTGCTTGGCTTGACCACCCATCTTTCTTTATTGACTTGAGTGTCGGAGTGCCTACCCGGGGAATAACTCCTTAGGCCTCTGATCTCTTTCTTGGTTTTAGATCTTGCTGCGTGGTTTCATCCTTCCACCTCGGCTTCACCAATTGACAGGACTATTTGACTGCATCCTTAGTTCAAAACACCTCGAATCAGACAGCATCACATATCACTAAAATTCAAGCTTTGAGTTAGTGAGGCTTTGATCAAAATTGAATGCTAACAACATTTATGTATTTATAATGACGTATGATGTTTTATGTTACTGTAAAAGGCTCAAACCTCCCTTGATGTTTCTCCTTAATAAATACAAAAAGTCCCCTCTCTTTTTAAATTGCACTAAGACGTTTCCTATGAGATGCATTAGCCGTTATGCCTAACCAAGGAAGAAAAAGAATCTAATATACCCTTTTAGAAAAAACCCTTTCCTCCTTATGGTCGTCCACTCCACTAAAACTTTTCTCGGGCTTTTCTTATCTACTAATTTAAACTTTATGGTGAAACTTTTAACAACTCTAAGGCCATGTTCGGAAGTTTTAAATTAAAAATAAGTGTTTATTGAATAAATGTTTGAGAACAAGTGTTTATTTGAATAAGTATTTATTTGTATTTGGCATCTAACTTTTTCAAGTATTTATTTTTTAAAATAATCACTTATTTTATATTGAGCGTTTGGTAGTCTTTTTTCTCTAATAAGCATTTGTGACTATATTTTGTCCTTCATTTTCTTCCAAATTTTCAAAATATACCCTTTGAAAGTATTTTTTTTAAATTACTTTTATAAAAACACTTTTATAAAAGTAATTTCATAAATGTTCTTTTGTGAACAGTGTTTTCGTAAAAGTATTTTCATAAAATTACTTTTGTAAAAGTGCTTTCGTAAAAGTACTTTCATAAAAAGTAATTTTATAAAATTCAACTAGGGATAATTTTGAAAGAAAAAAATTGAACAAGTGTTTATTGTATAAGCACTTGAAAAAGTTGGAAATTTGGCTTAAAAAATAAGCCCTTATTTTTAAATTAAGCACTTATTTCAGGTTTATTTCCCAAATACCAATAAATGCTTAATGGCCTAAAATAAGCACTTATTTTTAAGCACTCCCAAACATGGCCTAATACGAGAACCACCTACTTGAGTTTTTTTGCTAGATAAATCCATCAAGAACAGTTAGGTCCATAAAGTCATTATGTAAATAGTACACCATGGATTGGGAGCTTTTTTTTTCCTTTTTTATGTTTTGGAACTTGGTGAGAGTTCAACGAAGTTAGCATTAAGTGTGAGCAAGATGACACTACCA